ATTCTTTATTCTCAACCAACAGTGTAAAACACCAATAATAGGTTGAAATAAAATTTTCAGTAAACAGAGCATAAATATATACAATACAAATTAAAAAATGAGTTCATTAATAATACTTTTAAATTGTGAGTAATTACAGTTAAAAATATCCAAAAAATTATTCTTTAAAAGACAAGCGTTATAAGCTGACGAAATTCTACGGAAAATACCATTTTTAATGTTTTCATTGTCATCACTTCACCAATATATTTGTTATGGAACAAAGTGCTACATCATTTCACAATGATACATCTCTATATATATACATATATATAATTTTTATCTACCAATTAAAATATTTGAACAATTTATTCTCTAAATTCTCTTGTTTTTTTTTTTGTTCCTAGGATATCTTATGTTAGCTTCATGGCTTAGTTTATCTTTTGACTGTCCTTATTTTGTATTGCTTAACACAGAGAAATTTTGGTGTGTACTACAAAAATCCCACTACATAAATGAACTGAGAACGAAATACACAGATATGTACATTAGAATTCAACATAAAAAGTAGAAATTATGATGATTATGTAGATTTCGAAAACTCATTATAAAGCCAATATGTACTATGGAGTAGCTAAGGATTAATTTCAAAAATGCTTTATTGTGTCTGGCCTATCTTCTTTTGAGTATAGACAAAATATAAAATAAAATTTGAACAATTTATTCTCTAAATTCTCTTTTTTTTTTTTTTTTTTCTTTTTGTTCCTAGGTTATCTTATGTTAGCTTCATGGCTTAGTTTATATTTTGACTGTCGTTATTTTGTATTGCTTAACACAGAGAGATTTTGGTGTGTACTACAAAATTCCCACTACATAACTGAGAACGAAATACACAGATATGTAACAGCATAAAAATTATGACGATGTGTAGATTTCGGAAAACTCATTATGAAGCCAATAGGTACTGTGGAGTAGCTAAGGATTAATTTCAGAGATGCTTTATTGTGTCTGGCCTATCTTCTTTTGAGTATAGAAAAAATATATAATAAAAAACAAGCATCAGCAAAAAATAATTGCCCGCATTTGATTGGCTACCAGAATGCAGCAATACAATATTGTTGGAATATGCGTTTCTGCTTGTCTGGTTTCTAGCATATTGTGGATCATAATATTAATGATGGTAGCCTACAATAAAAGTCAAGACTTGGCTTATGGAGGATGCTTGTAATGACGATGAATGGTGATTATGATGATGGTAGTGACAATGGTGATGGGAAGGTAATGATAGTAGTGATGGATTATGAAAATAATGACTAAGATTATGATAACAAATTATGAAGAAAAAGATTATAACATAAAAAAATATTGTGTTGCCAAAATACATTGAATGATAGTCAGGATTTTTTTAAATATTAAATGCCTTACGCTCTATCCAAATTATCAAATTTTCTCTGACAAAAAAAAACTGTTGCCCATATATATATAT